ATATATGATTTACAGCTCATATTGCGATAGGTAGCAAAAAGTCGCCTGCCATGGATGCCTACTCATTCTTGTGAGTCATGTCTGGAATTTTTGTGAAGATCCAAAAGTTCAATGCAAGACCTGTACTCCATACGACGTCATTGTGAAAATGAAATCACCACCAAGTGTTCCACGTTATAAGGCCTCCCAACCCATGACGCTATAGGTATTAAGAGTAGCATGAAGGTTTTTTTTTTTTTGAAAGAAGGTGACGTGAGCAATAGATCGAAGGCCACACTTGACGTCATTTCGTGATATGGCTCAAACGTTTTCACGACCACTAGCTGCCGAAGAGGATTTCCCTCAAATAGCGGTGATATACGGGTGGCTCATCTCGCAAATTGACGACTTCTACGAAGCGGATTGGGTAAGTTGGAACTTGGGAGGATAAGAGGAGGCATATGATAGCCTGATTTTACAGGTGTTTGAATTTTAGGTTTCTGAGGAAGAGAAAGTGTCGCAACATAAAGCCTTTGACTGACTCAGAAAGCATCTAAAATGTATAGAAGAAAGACCATACTACAAGTTACTACCGTACATTCTCCGCACAAGGTCTCGCAGTTCCCAGCAGAAGAACTCCACTATATAGCTAAAGTGGAAACCGAGTGAGAAAAAACTTGCGACGTAAATCGTTTGATAGCAATCGAGGCAGAATTGGATAGTTATCCAGTAGCTGCCACGGAAGGTAACGTGTATCAGCACAATTCTTTGAAGAGTTCACCTATTCGAAAAAATACACTCACCCATAAGTTTGAATCCAACTAAGTAGTTGAACAAGCTCACTCTTTTCTAAACGCTCTGATGCGATCTCGCGAAGCTGTAGATGATTTGGAGAATTATTTTTGAAAATAGAATGAGTATCTTGAATCTCACCCTTTTGCACACACAGTTGTGATACATATGAACAAATCTGTCATAAATTTGATAATCTGGAGGGAAGCACGGTACTGCGGCACGGGCCAACTGCAGATCGTCCACAATTACTTTCCGGCAAACTTCCAAATACCTTAAAACGTAAACTTCAGCAGAGTGAGGAAATTGTCGCATAATGGCTCATTAAGTGGTTTCTGAATGCCTGCCTAGCGAGCCATGCTTTATTCAAAGTTCGATCCTCGAGTTGATTACCCTCAACGCGGCTCCACACAGTTTTTTCGAGAACCTGAAAGGCTCATGGACTGAGAACATAATGAGTTACAATTGTGTGATCTCAAACTATTTTATAAAACTTTGCAACTCGTTTTCATAAAGTCCCAATTGGTTTTTTTCTCATTGCAAGCTCCATTATCTCAATATAATGAGGCGCAGGCCTCCCACCCTCCGCAACTTATCTGTATCGGTTCGTCGCCGATCCGCCATCAGCATGTGCTTACCGTATGGGCGCATAAGATTTCTCAGAATTTAAGAGGAAAACCTGATTTTAAGCGCAGTATAACACATGGATATGCATTTTTGCGGGCGATACAGCTATCAAAGACTGTGGGAGTTTCACATCTATCGGTAAAAAAGCCAAAAAGGCAAAGGGGCTTCCATTGAGTATCTGATTTTCGCCACAAATATATTAATATATTTAGTGCAAGAAAGCTGTTGAATAAATCTGTGCAAATTTTCGTGACACGAAACGAAACCGCCAAATCTGAAGGTCGTCTGAGAATCTCATTCATCTATGTAAGACTCCACTACTTTCATATACGAAGTATCTGCTATCGCCAAAAGCCAGAAGTAAATGTTATTTTGAAGAGAGGAGATAGTGAAACACTACGGCATTATGGCTTAGAAGCTGG